TATATTTATTGTGTTTTAGGTGTTAATATTTATTACCAGCAACAGCCTTTTTATCAAGTACCTCCTGGAGCTCCACCTACTGGTGCCCTGCCCAATAGAGAGGATCAGCTAAGATTGTACGAGGAACAGAGAATGAAAGAAAAAGAAGAAATCAAACGTAGAAAAAGCTGAGGAGAAGAAGAGACGTGATTTTGAACAAAAACGACGACTATAATTCATGAATGTGCTGAATCCAAGAGTGGGAGGGGCTGGTGCTGTTGCTATGGAGACACTTATTGGATTCACACCGTTACCTAAGAGCAAGCCTAAAGCCACACCCAGCACTACGACTCCAACAATTACTACTTCAAAACAAGCCCCTCCTCCTTTAACATCGACATTAACTCCTCCCACACCTCCTCCTGCTAGTATTAAAGTAGCAACAACAATTACTACTACTAGTGGTAAGATTACTTATGTTATTTTATTTATTATTTTGGAACGGAATGCATAAACTGAAACAATAACCTAGCTAATGTAATTAGCACTGTATTGTACTGGTACATGTATGTTTTACATAACTAGTGTTAGAAGCTTAAATACACAAATTCTTGTCCAAAGCACAACATAACACTATGAAGTATGAAAACTGTTATCATTCAGCTTCTGTTTGTTTTAACACAAACAAGACAACAATGCATTATTATTATTATTATTATTATTATTATTATTATTATTATTATTTCTATAGGTCCTTCAATTGATGAGTTATTATCAAACACAATGTCCGGACTCGGTGATACTAAACCCAACCAACATCCGCTAACCAAATCCGATTTCAAATCAACCCCGCCCATCAGAGGACTAGAAACGAGACCCTCCCCAACCCCTGTCAATGAAACATACTCAGTCTCAACAAAAGCAGCTAAAGTCTGGGAGAAAGGAGGAGAAGAATTAAGTGGATTATTTAAAACTGAAACATCAGGAGGTACAAATGAGATATCTTTTTCTCCTGGTTCTGATGATGGATTTGGTGACTTCCAATCTGTAGTCAGTAATACAGCAACTAGTACTAGTGTAAGTGGTAATAGTGTAACTAGTAATGCTGTTACTAGTAATAGTGTATTACCATCAGCTGCTGGTAGAGAGAGGGTTGGAGGGGGTGGGATACAAAGAGCGCTACCTCTCATGACATCACCTGCTGTTGGTTCTCCTGTCCTGGTCTGTAGTTAATCTAACCTCACCAGGTCAACTGACACAAACTGAATTATATCAACTACTAGGATTGATTGGACTAGCACAGAATAGAAAAGTGAGTTGTTGGCATGTATAATACTTTAGAATTTTATTAGTAACATTGTATTCTGTGACATATAGTTATTTATTGTATTTTATTTTGTTTGCAGAATGTTAAAGTGTCTTTACATGATTTATTAATGACACAATCTCCTCCTATACCAACACTAGCAGCTATTAATATCTCTAATAATAATAATGAAGGTAATTAATTACTTGTGTATGTATCACTGTTACTATTTTATTAGTAGTAAATAATAATTTTTCTTGTTGTTATAGCACATGTACAGTGCATATTTTATATTTTATTTATCTATTT